CTGGTCTTTCCCGCCCCGCCGCCGCCCCGGCGGCTTCGGGGAAAGTTTGCAGGAAAAGGGGTGCGGCCCGGGGGCCATCGCGGGCGAGGAGTTGTGATAAGTGGCTGCTGTTAGCCCGGGGCCGTGCTGCTGTTTCCCGGAGGCATTGGGTCTCTCCGATTCGGGGCTTCCTGGGCACACGCGTGCCCTTGACCCAAAGCGACCCTGCTCCCCCACCGCCTGCGGGTCGGGCAGAACAATCGGCGATTCTGCAGGCCACTGACACTCATTGTATGGCAGAGAGATGAGGGCATCCGTGCCACCCCCTCCCTCACCCTACCGCTCTGGGAGAAAATGCCCGCGGGCGGGGGAAACATCTGGCTTCACGGGCCTGGCCTGGGGCATCTGTGCCCCCTAGCGCAGGTGCGAGTTTTCTTTCCTCTGAAAGAACTAGATGGAAGCTGCAACTTTTCACCTCCTCCCACCCCAAGTCTTGGTGCTAGGTCGGGGGATTACTGAAACCTGAAGAAGCCTGCTGTGAGTGTACTGTGGCCTCAGTCCTTGCAAGCTGGGGGACTGGCAGGGGTTGGTACTGAGCACGTTTAAGGCAACTCACAAAGGCCTGAGAATATCCTACCTGCTCAGGGTCTGGGTCTAGGCTGGGAGCAATAGCGGGGGCGCCTAGAACCCTCGGTTCCAACCACCCACCCCTGCTCCCTTGGGGTGAATGATCTGAGAGGTCCCTGTCTTGGGATACTGTCACAGTGGCACGAGGACATCCACTGGGCTCTGGAAAGAAGAGGTGATCATGAAGGTGGCCTGGAATCTTGGTGAGAGTTTGTTCGGAAGGCAGACAGTGTGTCTCTTGGATTTACCACTTAGTACATGGGTGACCTCGGACAAATGACTTAGCTTCTCAATGCCTCAGTTTCCTTCAGGGATGGTACTTGGGGAATGTGTTACACAGAACCTCAGACACGGTGCTCAGTTACTGTCTCTTCCTTGTCCTACCCCTGTCCTCACCCTTTCTCCCAGAAGCTAAGGGGGCTGGAGGTGCTAGCTGCCTCTCTCTGTCATCTCAGAGTGCAGATCGGGGATTTCCCCCAGGTGGGATTTAGGGACAGCTTCCCTTGCTCTTGCTCAGCTGCTGCTTCCTGATTCTCTAGCCAGGCTCTGGCTCAGGAGAGACTGTCATCAGCCCTCAGCTGCTCGTAGGCAACTCTCATCCCATCGTTGCCCAAATCCAACCTCACAGTGCTCAGAGTTTCCCTGTGAATGACCTTTGCCTTGGACAGGATGCCCGGGGTGGGGCAGTCAGACCGGGAAGGAAGTTTATCCTGCAGAAGGTGTGGTGTAGGCCAGAGGAGGGGGAGGGGAGAACTGTCTGCAAGGCCCAGGATGGAGGGTCGGGGGAGGATGCAGAAACTGAAGAGCAGGCCCACCAGCTCTGCAACTGGCCTGCTAATAAAAGTATGAAAAACTCGGCAGCCGTGGTCTCTTTGCCTCTGGTCTGACCTAGGGCTTGCCTTTCTGGCCCAGGTGTTTTCTTTTTTAATAGCACACAGCTGCTCTGGAGCCAGCCAGTCCTCACTGGGTCAGAGTTGCAGCCTGAGAGTGTAGTGCTGGCACTTGGTTGATGGTCGGTAAACATTTGGTGAATGAATGTGGTAGGAATGGGCTTTCAGCTGAATTTCCCTATTGGACACTCATAATCCGTGCAAATAGTACCAGTCAGTTTTTACATGTGGGTAGTATTGACAAGCAGGTGAGGGAGAAAAGACATAGTTTTTATTTACTGTGGATCTGTCTCCTGGTGGGAAAAGCAAATTGGGAAGGTTTTTCTTGTAGGCTGCTAAAGTTTTAAATATTTATGTAAGCACAGTTTATTGTGAAAAGTTGGCTTGCTGGAGGACTGTGAAGAGGCTTGCATTAAACGTTTTGAGACCCAAAGAGGTGTTAGTGAGAATAAAAAGACCTTTTCCTCCAAGTCAGCTGTTTGCCATTACTCAGGGATATTGGCAAATATCTAAAGAGACACAAAACTGAACAATAAGTGTTAGATTTGGCCTTTCCTTAAGATAATAGTGAGCAGATATCTGTGCTTCCTGTGTGCCAGGCACTGTGCTAAATACTTTACTTGTGTTATTTTGGACAATTTATGAGATAGGTACCGATGCTCTGCATTTTATAGATGAAGAAACTGAGGCTCAGAGGTGACAAATAACTTGCTCAGAATCGCAGCTGATCAGTTGTGGAGTCACCATTGAGACATAGGCTGACTGCTTCCAAAACCCTTGCTCCATTACTACCTTATTATTTTTCTTTGTTCCTCTACATTTCCTTTTTCCAGATCAATCCACTAAGGGTGGAACACATTAGCTTTACCAGGTGCTTTACAGAAGCTTATAAGCTATTTGAGGAGGATATGGCTTTGCCACTTTTAAGGTGGACAGAGTCAGGGTTTGAACTCTTGACCTGTAGGCTTTCGCTCTGCTACATGGCTAGGGAGGAGGAGAGGGGATTCCTTAGTTCCTAGACCCTGGTATCTGCTTCTGCTTTCACCAGATCAGATGCACGTTTGAGTTTTGGGGCCAGGTTTTCAGGAAAGAAAAAAAAAAAGAAGCCTGGAAAAGAGCCCACTTGAGAGAGAGAATAAAGCTGGGGGGGGGGATGAAAGGAGGGGGGGGTCCCTGAGTTCTGACAGGGGTTGCCTGCCTGCAATTTCCACTTAGAAATTTATATGGTAATGGCGTTGGCTATATTACGCAGCTCCCCAGGAATTTGACTGACGCCAGCATTGAGTAATTTCCATGTATGGTAAAGTGTGTAAATACAGAGGCTGCTAGCATTTCCAGACTCTGGCATTTCCAGTGCATCCCAAGGGCTAGAAGGCAGCGTCTGAGTCCTCAACAGTGACAACAGAGGAAGAAGTGGAAGAAGGTTAGCAGCTAGAGCCCAGCTCAGCCCCAGCCAGCAGCCAGGCCCCCCACCCCCTCCACTGTGCCTGGCATTTTTTATACCAGGTTGGCGTGGGATGGAGCTTCCTGAGGTGTCAGCTGCAAGCAACCTGTGTTTATAAGGCTTAAGTGCTAATTTGTTTTTACTTTTTAAAAGTTAAAGAAAAATTATTCAGACCTTTTTTTCATCATGGGGGTAACTAACTGGTGCCCCTCTAAGTTGACGTTATTCCAGATAAAAGCAGATAAACTCGATCTGTTAGTCTGTATGACCTTAGTATAATATAGGATTTCCTGTAGTAGTTTTGAAATACTTAGAAAAAAATCATAAACCCCCATTTCTACCTTTGTTGACTTTCAGACTTCTGAGCTCCAAGGATAGAGAGTTCTGCTATAGAAGGCATAAGGGGACAAATGGGGACAGGGAGAGACATAGCAGTGCCCTTTGCTCACAATCCCACGAGGGCCATGGGACATGGATTTGAAAAGAGAAACCTCACACCACAGAGAGAGAGGGGTCACTGAGCTAGATGACAGTCAAGTTCTGGGCATAAGGGGGCCTGGAGTGATCATAGCTCAGTGACACTTTTTACCTCAGAGAGGTGAGTCATGGGCTGGGTTCAGAAGAAATCACGCGTGGGACACGGAAAGCCAAAGCCGAGCCTGCCCCACCTCCATGTCGGCCTTTCCTCCCCCACCAGTGACCAGTACCTTCAGGGGAGGTCTATTTCCTGGGCTCTCAGGTGTCACCTCCAAGACATGGGCTTTGAACCTTGACCCCCTCCTTCCCTCTCTGTCCTTGGCTGCTCTCTGGACATGGGCGTGTAAAAGAAGAGAATGAACTGTGGGGTTGGAAAAGATGACAGTGTTCCCGTACACCTGGCCAGTTACCAGACAGCTCAGGTAATGCAAGCAGCACATTTCTAACTAGATAAACACTTAACAGGTCTCTACCGGACCAAGTGGGTGGGGGCTTAAGTCCTGTGACCATCAGTCATGCTTTGGCCCTAGGGAACAAATGATTTTTGAAATGAGAGTGATGGGATTTTTCCACTGCAGAAATAAAGATGTGGGATGGCTTGTCCAGGGTTTGATGAGAGGGGGCTCTCCTTTGGGTACTTGTGGGTGGCAATTAAGGATTATATATCTCTGAGATGGTTCCTTAAACTTGAAACATCACCACATAGCACCTGTCAGCTCAGCCCGACTTTCTTGAGATTTGGGGTGAGCATGAGAGTCTGTGCCCTGTGTCTGCTCCTTCCTCTGTGGCTGTAAGATCTGCCATCCTGGATCTCTCATCTCTAGATTGGGGACAATCGACAGGAAGGTGTGGGCAGCAGACTCGAGCTAGGTGCTAATTGGAGGAGGCCAATCCTTGGCTTCTAACCTCCAGCCAGCCCTAAAGATCCTGACATTTCAGGTAAACAGCTGACCAGATATTTCCAGCCTCTCAGCAGAAAATTCAAGCTCTATTATGCTCTGTTGAGATTATCAACACACTGAAGTAGGACAAACCAGAACACAGATGGCAGTTCCAGTGGGAATGTGACTCTTAGAAGGGAACCTACTGTAATCTCAACAGGTGGATAATGTGATTACAGAAGATAGTAATGATTCTTGGTTGCCCAGAGCAATACAGAAGACAGCTATTGATATAAAGATACAGTGCCTGCT